AGAAATCTTAATGAGTTGAAAAACTTTTGTTTCAACAAATTTTTGGAAGCCAAGTCTGCGAGGTCACAAGGCTAAATGATACATGGTTCTTCCAACCATTGAGTAGTTATTCATTGTGCGTATTGAATTCGCGTAAAAAAAATAAAGGGCTTATGCCACAATATGAATGAATGCTGCTTTACTCAAAACATATTATGCAATACAATATGAAGTTAATTTGATTAGTCAATACATGCTAACTATGTTAACAATTGACTTGTACATTTTTTATTTGCTGATTTAGAATTAAAATACCTTTTGACATGATAATCATAAATCAAAGTATAATAACAAAAAAAGACAACAACAATAAATTTTAAACCCAATAACTGCTATGAACTACGAATGTTTACGAATTACGTTAACAAAACACAAAATCCAAAAATAAGAAACAAAAGAGAAAAGTTTTACAAATAGCAAAGCAACAACATAAAATAATCACACACAAAAATTATACTCTCTCAATTTTCTCTTCTTTATAATATCCCGTTCTTAAAAATTTCCATTTCACATCTTTTTTTAAAAATATCAAATTAATTTTATTATTGTATACAAATAAATTTAATCAACACAGGTAAATGGTAACAAACAACAATATTAAGTGTTGTATTTTACGCAGCATATGTTTACACAACAACAAAACAATATTATTATTATTAATAGACTCTTATTTTCTTTGGAACTTTATACTCAAATATGAATAACACACTTTAAAATAACAATAATTTATTATCAGCCAATATGATCATTTTTATTTTTTCTTCTTTTTCCTTATTTTCATTTCTCTCTTTTGAAACCGGCAGAAATTCAATGTAATTAGCAATGTATGAAAAGCAGTTTTGTAAGTTTGTGTGTATAAAAGAGAGCACTCTCAGATGCATTTTCATATACGTAATAGGTAATATTTTCTTTTCATTTCACTTACCACTCTCATTTCTTGTTTTATTATCGTAATTCAAAAATTCTCTTTTCTTTGTTAAATTGATTTTTATTTATTTTCTCTAATTTTAAAAACTGGTTTTTATTTTCAATATTTATTTCTTATTAGAAAATGTTATATATTATGAACTGATATACGTGATTTTGATAACAGAGAGCAATTCTCAAATCTACGGTAAAAGTGAATACAAGAATACAAGATTAATCTGTATTATTTGACATTCTCTATCAGTATAAATAATGAATGCACTTAATATATACATATATCGTATACCGTAATATTTACATAGATTTTTTCTCTTATAAAAATTTATTTATTCCCAAACCAAAGTTGAGTTAAGCCTACGTTTCCTTTGTATACTTAACATTATATATATACCCTGCACATCGTGAAGGGTATATTAACTTTGGTATGGAGTTTGTAACTACTTGAAGGAGTCATCTGCGGTATGGACATATATATATATTCTTGCTCAGCGTAAAATTCTGACAGTTGTGTGTCGAGTTATAGGCCTGATATATTTCTGAAGTTTTGGTGGAATTGCTTGACAGGTTCGAGTAGCTCCCATACAAGTCTAAAAGCTTATTTTAAATATTTGTAAAAATAAAGTCAGATTCATGAAACTTGGCAGTTGTGTGTCCAGTTATAAATCAGACATATCCGTGAAATCTCTATAAAATGGTTTCACAGGTTTGAGTAATTGCTATACAACAACGAAAGGTGCAGGGTATAATTCAATCGGTTTATACCGACTGAAACGTTTTTACTTGTTTTGTTTAATTTCTCTCTGCTATCGATAAAATATTACAGTACTTAACGAGTATAAACATATATAATTAATATTACATGAACATGTACCTTACCTGCATATAATAGATACTGAATTGAATTTGTTTATTAATTTTTATGTACCATATCGTAGAAAAATGTAAAATTAAATTGAATTAAATTGTTATACAACTTGTATAAGGAACGTTTTTCTATTCGTTTCATGAAAACTCTTCATTTACCTCTTTTAGTTTATATAAAATAAGAAAGACTTAAAATAAATTTTTTATATAACATATTTTACTACTTGGTAATGCTGTTGCTCATAAATAATAACATAGAGAGAAAACAAATGAAAATGAAAATGCAGAGAAAATCAAAACATAAAATTATTGTAAAATTAAGAAGCTGCGATGCGAGAGCGAAAATATTATAATTTAAGCTTGATTTAGATAAAAACAAAGACAAAAAGAAAAAAAGAAAAAACAATAGCTTAACTGGTAAAATAAAATAAGCCTTTATTAAAATTTTATGCGCAGGTTTATTTCAGTTAAATCGCAAGAGCGAAACATTTCGGTTGTGTTTCTCTAAGGGATTTTTTTTTAATTGTTTTGTTAAAAAGTTTTGTTTTTTAATTTCGATTAAAAAATAAAGATTAATATTCTCGTTCGTGTTTATTTTTTTTTGTAAACTTTCAGTTTGATTGATATTAATTTTTAATTTGTTGACTATTCAAACATAATTTATTTTTGATAATAATTATTAATCTTTGATAACACTGAATAAAACATTTAAAAAAAAAATTCAAAAAATAATTTTGTATTTAATATCAAATCACAAAATTTTTGTAATTGCGCGCATAATTTTTCCAAAATTTATCAATAACTTTTGAAAAATATATAGATTATATACAATAGGTATATTCAATAATTATGTAGTTTATATAACAATAAATTTATATAACAATTATAAAATAAAAATTGTAAATTTTCTTAAAATACTTAATTATTGATAATTTAATTTCAAATAACTTTGAATTTGTGAATAGCGCATTTATTAAATTAAATTTATTAAAATTAAAATTAATTATTTATAACATTAATTAATTGATATTTTTTTTATATTTATTTAATGTATTAAAGATTAAGTATAATTAATCGTAATAATTTATATGAAATATATAATCATTTTTCAATTCATTTAATATTTTCCAAAGAAATATATTTTTCTCAATTTTAAATGAATCTGAATTTGAAATTAACATGTAAAGAATCTTAAATCGATTTTGTTATACCCAAGTATAACAGAATCAATGATAACAGTAAAGTTATTACCATATTAATCACAATTTAAATAAAAAAACAACATTACTCACATACATACAAAATAATTCAAAAAATTGTACTTATTTTTGTTATACAGAAAAAAATTTAAAAATTCTGATTGATTTTTTTTGTACTTTTCACATAAATAAGAAGTATAAATTACAATTATTATAAAATACTACTACACTATTATAGTAATAATTATATTATACAGAAAATTTATTTGATCAGTTATCAATTAAAATTAAAGTATATACGTAGAATTGTATACATTATACAAAATAAATCAAATAAATTAAATTAATATATGAAACTTAATTATTACTATTAAAAAAATTTAATTGTATTTTGTATTTAAATACAATGTAAATAAATATACAATAATAATTATATTGTAAAATGAGTATAATGAATTTAATATTGATAAAATTTTTTAATATACTTAAGTACTGAATTAAAAATAATGGGCAATTAAATAAATAAAATATACAAGAATTATATAGGTATATTATGATATATGGAATTGTATTACAGTTTATTAAAATTAAATTTCGATAAATTAACATTGATTTTGTATTTAATAATTAAATGTAATTTATGAGAGAATTAATAATAATTTTTGAAATAAAAAGTTTTAATAATTTTTACTCTTACACTTTAAATTTCACACTGATTTTCAGAGTGAAGTGAGTATTTTATTAGGGTGATATTGAGATTCAATAAACAAATATAAATATAGAAATATTAATTCGATAAAATCGATAAAATAGATTACGTTCTTAATGTGGGATTTCTAGTATTTTATATTACATTTGAGTAATTTATTTATTACCTTATATAGAAATTATTGGATAGTGTTTTCAAAGTTCTTCATCGGATTAAGATCGGATAGTTTTCAAAATGGTTAAAAATAGGAGTTGGGTTTGAACAAATTCATGTATAATCAGTGTACTCTATTTCAAATGAAATATGAAAGTAATTTTAAGTAAATACATATAGGAAATATTTGCTTTATATACTCCATATATAAGAACTCTTATAATATTTTGAAATGTATTATAGATTTTTCAAATACCTACATAATACAGAAACTGCAACAATTCCTAGTTTTTCACAATAATTAAGATTAGGACAATATATTAAGAATTTCTGCTTAGAAAATTTAATATGATATAAACTTCATATTTATAACTTTCTCTTTCTTGGGAGCATTAAGGGCTTTCACTTAATTTTAAATTCAAACTTCAAATACAAAAGACATTAGGTTGTAACCAGTCTGCCATAGTTGTGTTTTTTACATTAACACTATTGAAAGTTATTTATATTTTATAATATTATTTTTGTTCGTACTCAATATCGAATATAACGGTAATGTGGGTAACACTTGCTTATATTAACACTTTATTATTATATATTAAGAGACCCTTAAGTTAAAAAATCAGTGCAATATTCTCTGCATTGTAGGTCACATTATATTTATAAACACTCGAAGTTGGGATAAAATATAAATTTATTTCAAAAATTATTTACTTAATAACTATCTTGAAATTATTCATTTATAGAATCTTGTAAATAAAGCATCAATTATAAAAATGTTATTGAATTCTCACAAAATATTAATAATGTGAATAATTTTTTAAATTTTTTAATTTTCAGATCTTGATTATTATTTTTAACAAATTCTCATTTCGCGCTTCTATAATTATTTTAAAAACAGTGTTCACAGTCTTGAGGACTAAAAATTTTAATATTAAAAACCAACCCAATAATTTTATAATATTAAATATGTGAAATATAAGTACTAATTTTAATTAAATTAAAATTTTATGTATAACACATTTTAAATACACAATATTTTGAACTATAAAAAAAAAATTCAAAATGTGAAATATTTAAAATATAAGATCATTTACTTAAACATCATTTATTTAATATTGAAATTTAACATTTAAAAAAATATATTAATAATAATAACAAAATTAATAAATTTAATTTTTGTCTTCTTCATTATTTATTTATTTATTATAATTTTTTCGTGTGTTTTTTGTTTTTTGTTTTAATATTATGAGCATTAATTTGTCATTGCCAATAAATCGTTTTAAAAGAATATTACAAGCAATGACATTACTAGTTATTATCATTTATATGACTTTGGTCATATATCAAACAACATATGGATATCCGCCAAATACGATTTCACAGGTAAGTTAAATTGATTAGTACAATATGTTATAATCAATTTAATTTGATATATTAAGTGTTATATACATATATATGTATAATTTTATAAGAATCATGCGAGCAGATCATTAGGTACACATTATTTAAAAAGGTGTGATTTAGAAAAAAACAATAAAATTAGTGTTATTTTCAAATAATTTAAAATTGAATTTAATATTGGAATGTGTTTTTTGTATTTGCTTTAATGTAACTAAAAATTATAAGTATAACAGTTATAGTTATATTCAAAGTTTTATGAATATTTTCTTTTATATATAAGTATCATTTTGCCTTAATTATTCAGCATAGTGGGTATTTTAATTGAATTATAATCTTATTTTTAAATGGTTCACCCATTCTAATTTTAATTCTCATCTACATGAAATATACATTATGCCTTTAATAAATCACAGTATTGCACTCATTTGTAAGAACATAGTGTCAGAATTTACTTCAGAATTCATTTCTACTTCAGGTTATTCAATCTTGAATGCAATATAAGTTCATCATTTATATATACTACTTCTATATGCAACTCTAATTGATGCATTAAGAATAATTTCATGAAAATTCACTATAGAATTTTAAAATTTATACTATCGGCAGTGTCATATGATATTTTTTAAGGTAAATGTGAAATTCGATGTTCGAAATGCTCAAATAATAATAAGTTATAATAATTTGCGCCTTAATATATGCAATATTTTATGACTTATCATTATTTTTGGCAATTCAATATTACCATTAATATTATTTTATTATTTCAATAGTTTTTACATAACATTATAATTTCTGTTAAATACTTAATATAACAAAAATGTTAAACAAATTAAACATGTATAAAATATGTGTTTTATGGTAAAAAAATATACAAACACAACAACTATCAAATACATTATTAATCACACTTAAATATGCACATAAGAAGCATGTATCAGCTACATTAATATGGCAAAAAAAAAATTATTATATTTTTTTTGTAATAATTTTTCATTACTGACAAAATCACGTTTTTAAAATTGTAACAATTAAAATAAAAACTATAAAATTACTTGTAATTTTTTTTTTGTGTACATATTCAAATTAAATACAGTGAGACCTCTATACCTCGAAGTCGCACGGGAACGCTACAATAGTTCCAGCTATAGAGATTTCGAGTTGAAGAGAAAAAAAAAGTTATGCCAATGTTTAAGAGAACTCATATGGCTTCAAGGTAAAGAGATTTTCGAGTTGTAGATGTTCGAGTTGTGGAGGCTCCACTGTACATTCACAATTTAATTCGAATTTCAAATATATGATCTGACGTAATATAGTTTACATATTAATGTGTATATAAAGTATATTTAATTGTATATTGTGTTATATGTATATTGTGTACATAAACTTTAAGTCAATATTATTATTTTAAGAGCTTAAAATATACTTTTTGATATACTAATAGTGTTCTCTAGCTCTAGTTATAAGTTTACAAAAATATGAGTAGCGAATAAGCAGAATAGTTTTTTTTATGACAATATTACAAACATAAGCATAATATTCTTCGTAGTTATATTTATTTATATATACCACTATAGAGGGAGTAGTTAAATATGTACGTATATATATGTGAAAAAATTTTAGTTGACTGACATTGCTAAAAAACAAAAAAAAAATATTTAAAGATAAAAAAAATTTTTGTCTCGTTTTACTCCGTTTTTTTTTTCTTAGTCTTTTTTGGTTTTACGCCATGTTTTCATTTTTCTTTTTGTTATTTATTTGAGCTCAATTTGCTATATGATATTTTTGCGGTACGTTTGAAGTTCCTTCAAAGTTTTATTATTTACCGCAGAATTATTACATTTAATGTTTGTTGAATTTTAATTGTTTATTTTATGTATGTATTGTCTATGTTTTGTCTTCTATTTATTTATTTTATTTTGTCAAAAATTAATTTTTTCGCGCCATTTAATAAATTTTTTATATATTTTGTATTATTAGTAATACACTGAATAAATGATAAGTTGAAGAAGACTGATCTAAAACTCATTTAAAATTTAGAACCGAAATTAATGTAAACTTTTACATATACAAAGCTTTTAAACAAAGACAAGTTTAACATTACTTTATTCTGTGAGTTAGAAGAAATGTGAACAAAAACAACCCCTGCTGAGTTGTTCTTTTTTTTTTTAAAAAAAAACTTTTGAAATTAAAATTTATTTTTATTAAAAAAAGTTTCTCTTATAAGATTCTTAACATTGGCCCTTTCCCAGTTATGTCAAAGATTTGACGATCATGTCAATCACGTCAATCGCTTGATTTAGCAAATGACAATCACCTGTAATTTGAGCAATTTTCGCAACTGACATTTTATATTTCTTGTTTACATTACAATAAAGCGGAAAATTTAAAATTTGAAAAGTAAAATGAATATACTTATAAAAAAAATTTTATTTGACGAGCTTATTACCGACTTCCAAAAACAAAGTAACGTGATAAGGAATAACTACAAAAAAAAGTTGAAATTATATAGAAATATGTTTTTATATAAATTTATTAGAGAACGTTGTTGATTCCGAACGAAAATTTTGTTCATTCACTGCCATTGAACTCTTATAATTGTAAGGCATTGAAAGAAATTATTTTAAAAATTATACATTTTCAGAAATTATTTTAATAGTTAATTTAATCATATTTTTAGTTTACAGTCATAAACGTACAAGAGTTCTTAATATTGCGGTTTTTATTTTGTATATGCGGCGGGTTGGGTTAAACAAAAAAAAAGTTCCTATTTATTTTAATATGAGTATGAAGAATTCTACAGAAGCGAAAACCAAAAAAATTTTTTGCTTTAATTCTTTGAATTTTTTTAACTATATATGTATGTACATCTAAATATGTAATAAAGATTTTAAAAAATATGTGTACTTGTATGTAAGAATGATCTATCTATATTAGATGCAAATTTGTTTTACATAGCATTGGTAATAGTTTTAAATTTTAATGACAGAATAATATTTCAGAAACTAATATGGAATTATTTTGCCTATACAAATGTATATATAGAATTTTATTATTATTTTGTTGTCCTTGTACTTAAAATCAAATTTTGTTAAGAATAACATCCAACTAGTTCTTCATCGTAATAAATCTTCAGTATCACTTCAAAGAACAATCTAAAAGTATATAGCAATTAATATAGTGAAAGAAAATAATCAAATTAATTTAATTACTTACTTGTAGTTGAATAGTAGCCTTTTAGCCTGGACCCAAACCGTACTTTGTAACCCGATTTTTATCGATATGTGGCTGCGATCACCATTTTGGAGTACTCTCAGTCTATCTGTAATAAGCTGAATATCAGAAGCAGAACCCCAAATTCTCATTATCATTACAACCAAGTGAGCAATTAGTCGTTCATTCATCAATAACGTTGCTACATTCTAAACGTAATTTTGGAATAACAATGAAGCGACATAAAGCCGTGAATGTCACTAAATGGATGAATAGAATAAATTACTAAGCAAACAGTTCCTCTTGAATTGTCGTGACTTATACTTATGATTTTATGTCTATAGAGATGCAACCTTAGAGACTACATATATAAATTACTGCAGGCCATTCATCCAACTGGAGTACTACCACAATCATTGCATCCTACAACACACTTTTTCAAGGGAAAAGAAAAAATTAGTAATTCCATTCCTATAACATCAAACTAAAGTTTAAGTATATTTCTTTAGCAAGTCAACACACTTTTTCCACTAAAAGTCTAGCTTAAGTTTGTTATCTAAAATTTCTAGTTCTAAACTTTTATATTTACAATTACTTACTGTGACAAATTTTTTCACTTTTCTCTTATCGTTCAATTCAACATTTTATATTATAATTTTGCGTGTTAAGCAATTAACTAAGACCAAAGTACTTTTGCCCAGTAGTCTTTAAATTTATTCTTAAATTATACCCGGTAGCAAAAAAAAAGAAATTTTTATAATACCCAAACAGTTAAATTTTGGTTTTATTTTTTACTATTTTTACATATTCTTATTTGATGCTCACGAACATGTTGTTGCGTATACAATAATCGTTCCGTATAATGAAATTAAGTGAGGAAATGAAAGAAAAATCAGTCATGATTGCGTGTTATTTTTAAGGTAGCCTTAATGAAAAGAAAGAAACGAAAAAAAAAAATTTTTTAATACAATAAAATTTCCGAATTAAATTTAAAATTAATATTATTGAGATTTTGTTAAGTTAAAAAAAAAAAAAGAATTTTAAAGAATAATTTTAAGAAGCTTAATAAAACTTACCGTATCATAATATGCGTAAATATTGTTAATGACGTTAAAGGCAAAGTTCTTCAGAAAGGGGAAAATAATTCCGTAAACAATTTTCTATATGGTCGATTCATGGAACATAATTGCCACTTCCAAGAAATTTACCTAGAATTTTCGAACAAATTTGTTTTGTAGGTTCTCTACAAAGTACTTAATGTTATGCCAAGATCTTTTGTTGACTCTTGAATACATGAGTTTCGATCATCCTTGGCGCTTTCGCTTCGGAATTGTTTGAAACCATAACAAAACATATGACACTATAATTTGTTAAGTATAACTGCCTATGCAATTCGTCACTTCAATATTAAGTTTTGCATTTCTTTAAGTAATTTTTTTCAAACTCTCTGACCATTATTCTTAATTTCTTGATTATTAATATATTTTCCGATTGTCAAACATGTGTCAATGAATTATAGAATTATTTCTAGCTTACTGAAATTATAAACCAGAGTCATTATAAAATAATACCAATAAAAACATTTCTTTTATTATTCCGTATAAGTTAAAATTCGTATATGTACATCAATACAATACTTGTATGTACACATGTAAATTAAAATGCTTACTATATACACATGGATAGATATTACAAATTTTATTTAACAGAAAATACTTAATTGTCGGTAAACATAAAGATTTTGAAAGGCATATACCATATATGAAATAATT